TTTTTTTTTATAATTAAAATGTCCTTATGGGCTGAGGGAGACTGTGGTGTTAAGCGGGTTGTAATGGTATACAGCCCACCCCGACCCCGCCTTCATGGCAAACCATTGGTGCCATAAACGTCCAACGGTTAGTTTCTGGGTCATACATTTCCATAGAGCTGAGATTGGATTGTCCATCATAACCTCCCACTGCATAGAGTTGACCACAATTGGCCACCAGAGAAATGCGGCTGCGTCGAGTGTTCATGGCCACTAGGTGGCTCCACTGATCTGCTACTGAGCTATACACCTCTGCTCCACTGAGAAACGCAGAGCCGTCGTAACCTCCTGCCACATACAGATTGCTGCCAAAGGCTGCAGCGCCGTGCCGACAGCGCTTGTTTTTCATGGGGGCGACAGGGTGCCATAACGCTGTATGATGGTTGTAGTACTCCACCTAGTGGCAGAAACATGAAACAACAATATATTTATATATTTAAGGAATATTCACAACTTCACAAAAAGTGACCAAAAACAAAAATGCAAATTGTATCCTGTAATTTGAATGATGATGTTTACTTACGGTGTTAAAGATCTGTAGTCCATCATGACCACCCGAAACATATATTCTGCCTTCAAATACAGTAACGCCAGCAGCACTGCGGCTTGCGCTCATTTCTGTAACTATCGTCCATCTGGTAACAAACACACATAAACACATTCTGATTCCAAAGAAAGCTACAGTGATTGTTAGATGGATAGTTTAATAAACAGAGCAAAATAGTGTTGTCAAAGGATTTTCGATACCAAAACCACGTTGCTATCGAAGACATCTTTACTTAAAACATGAAATATTAATATAAATATATTAATTAATAAATGATTAAAATAAACATGCAAACACTGTTATAAAAGTTATAAAATTAGGAACAGAAAAACATAAGCAAAGGAATAAATTATATTAACAACATTATTATTTAATAGACAGTAGCAAGACTATTAGGCTGTGTTTACATTTTCCATCTGCTCAAATATTGAAGATTGCATGATTGCATACAACCTTTTGAATTGCATATAGTTTGGCCAAGATTAAATAAGCATTTAATTATAGTGTCATGCACTAGAGTAGTGTAGTGTTGGCGCCCTCTGCAGGTTAGAAAGTTTATCCACATAATATTATTACCATCCTCATTACAAGTA